CTTCCTGATGCTCTTTCAAGGCGCTCCTATCTCAGTCTCAGGCCTGGTAATCCTGCCTTCGATCAACAGGATCAAGTTATCCTCGGTCCTGATCGGCTTCAAGTTATGGCAATTTCCCTGGCCCCTCAGGACTCCTCCTTGATGGATGCAATCAGAAACGATCTTCAATCCGATGATCTCGCTAGCGACATTTTTCCCCATCTTCAGGCTGGACACCCAGTGACTCCCGACTGCCGGCGATTTGACGAGTTCGAGTTCTTAGATGGCTTATTGTACCGTGGGGAGCAGCTTTACGTTCCTGAAGGTGATGCTCGAAGGTTGATCCTGATGGCGTGCCACGATAGCCCGACTGCTGGTCACTTCGGCATTGCGAAAACCTATGAGCTAGTTGCACGGGACTTTTGGTGGCCTCACATGGACGACTACATCAAAGCTTTTGTTACCTCCTGTGACACTTGTGCCCGGAATAAGGTACCTCGCCACCTTCCTTCAGGTTTGCTTCGTTCCCTTCCGGTCCCTTCAGGTCCTTGGGAATCCATCTCCATGGATTTCTTGAGTGATCTTCCGAGTTCTGGAGGCTTCAACAGCATTTTAGTCGTGGTGGATCGCTTCACAAAGATGGCGCACTTCTTGCCATGTACCAAGGAGTTTTCGGGCGAGGACATGGCAAAACTGGTATTCAGGGAAATTTTCCGACTTCATGGGATTCCTACAGATGTGGTTTCGGATCGGGGGCCTCAGTTCATCTCTCATTTCTGGCAACGGTTTTTGCAGCTGCTTGGAGTGAAGGCCAACCTCTCTTCGGCATATCATCCTCAAACTGATGGGCAGTCCGAGCGAACGATTCAGACGTTGGAACAATTCTTGAGGTGCTTCATCAACTATCATCAGGATAACTGGTTCGATATCCTTCCCCTTGCTGAGTTCTCCTATAACAACTCTGTTCACTCCTCTCTTCGAGTTTCCCCCTTCTTTGCGAACTCTGGCCGAAATCCCCGATTCAATCTCTCACTTCCTTCTCCATCTGAATCCTCTCATTCAAATCCCCGCTCTGAATCATTTCTCTCCAACCTTCAGGAAATCCACAACTCCATCTCCTTCCACCTCCATCGTGCTCAGGAATCTCATAAAACATTTGCCAATGTCCATCGTCAGGATTGTCCCCCTTACAATATCGGGGATAAAGTCTGGCTCCTCAGGCGAAATATCTCCACCACCAGGCCCTGTCCAAAACTTGATTTCAAACGCCTTGGTCCTTTCCCTATCACTGCCATCATTAATCCTGTCACTTATCGCCTTGCACTTCCCTCCTCATATCAAATTCACCCCGTTTTTCACTCCTCTCTCCTTGAGCCTTATATTCCCAGTCCTATTCCAAATCGGGTCATTCCTCCGCCTCCACCAGTGCAGCTCGAGGATGGGTCTGAGTACGAGGTTCAGGACATCCTTGATTCCAAGATTTCACGATCTAAACTCTACTATCTGGTGGACTGGAAGGGTTACGGACCTGAGGAACGCACTTGGGAACCTGCGGACAACCTGATTCATTCTCCTGACCTTGTTCAGGACTTCCACCGCCGCTATCCTTCTCGTCCCAGTCCTCATTCTTTTTCTCCATCTCCCATCCCTCGCCGCTCATCTCATCCTCCTCTTCGTTCTGGTTCACATCCTCGTTCCACTCGTTCTTGAGGAGGGGGTGCTGTCAGGAATCCCCCAATTCTTGCCACATTCCTGACTCTCGCCGGATTCCTGACCTGCAGACCACATTCCTGACTCTCAAGACACTTCTCTATTCCTGACTCTCGAGACACTTCCCTATTCTTGACTCTCGAGACACTTCCCGATTCCTGAGTCTCGAGCCACATTCCTGATGATGATGTAGCGCCTCCTCGACCTCAGCTGTATTTAGGCTGTCCTCGATCCAAGAGTGGTGGAGCTTCATCAACCTATAGTATATATAGGTTAGCCTTGTTCCATTTCTCCACAATCTGAATCAACACCAGTCTAAGGCCTCTTCTCTGTTTTCACTAGCTTTTTCTCTTTGTCTTTAGCATTTTCCAGTCTTGATCTTGTTGGGGGTCTTGACAATATCAAGCTTATGGACAACAAGCTCACAGATAGTGGTGTCTTAGAGTGGCTCAAGAACATTGTCAATGCAGCGAGTAAAGATCAAGCTTCCAAAATGAAATGTCTTTAACCTTGAGCTTTCCAAATGCAAGTTCCAATTCCACTATCAAAACCTCTAGCAAATGCCAAAATTAACCTCATACTTGTCAAGATAAAATATCTTAGATTCCTTGTGACAACAAGGTTTATCCCAACTCATGCCTCAAATCTATAGCTACAGTGAAGAACTTTTGGAGTTACATAGTAAGCATTTCTAACAAAAACTGTGAACTTGTCATCTATAACAAAGCGTGTTGGTTGGTCACTTTTTTTTTCCTAGGAGTGTTTATTATTTTAGGGCAAAAAGAAAATCCAGGAATTTTGATTTCTTTAGTTTTTGATGTTACACATGCAAGACAATTGATTCCTAAATTCATGATAACATAAATCCATTTTTTTCCTATGTTTTATGTTAAGGGAAAGAGTTCTAAGAAGATCATGATCAATGAGATGCCAATCAAGGACATTAACAACCACTACTACCAATGCTAGGGTGATACACAAAGGAAAACTTATATTCTTTGAAACAGGCATAGTTGAGTGTGTTATATCAGTTAATGTTGCTGATGCAGAAAGTTTTGAGATACATATTGTTGGGTTCAATGAGAGTACCAAGCATTTTCAAGTGAGATTGAGCAAGGTAGCATCTATATATTTTTAGGGAACTACAATGAAAAGAGTACACCTATATTGTTCACATCTAAATATGTTAAAGATCACACTTATATGTTATTTTGACTATTGAATGCCATACATAGCAACAATAAACAGTGGCCTTAAAATGGAAAATTGTATAACATAAGTAATTTTATGGGAAGCTCTGACTCATACCCCAATCACCAATGATCTTTGCTAAGCTGAGGTGGCAATAGGACCATTTGTGATCTTTGCACTATGCTTTGAAAAGCATGTATTGCTCATGGTCACTACATGTTTCAAATAGTAATCACATATTATACATCAATCCCACTCTTGGGTTCTTACTGGAACTTCCCATTGAGAGGGTAAATAGGCAGCACCCCACGAGAAATAAATCTTCATTAAGACTAAACACAAGATCTAAGGCAAGATCTAAGACACTCATTCAATCTCAAGTCACTCAACTCCATGTGCTAGAAGGAAACTAAGATGCACTCCTCCACTCCTGCAACAAAGACCATGATGCCAGCATTACAACTGTCACAGTCAAAGCTGTTGACTCACTAGGGCTGTATATAGAAATGTCTGGTTGGCACCCCCTAGAGGCTATTGTCTTTGGAATTTTTAGGGTTGGAAGTTTGCAGCCTTTTGCTGTTTTAATATTGTCCTGGACACGACTTCTACCTCACAACTACTTGAATATGATAGCTGGCTCAATGCCAAATAGGGAACAGAAAGAAAGAGAGGAAAGAAGGCTGATAACTAAATAATAATTTTTTGTGTAGCAGTATTACAAATTAAGAAGTTTTAAGAGATTAAATTAAGGTTCAAATACTTGCTCAAGCTCCTGATGCATAGGCCTCTAGACACAAGCTTTCATAGACCATTAAATCTTTTAGCAAGAATCCTTATCAATCCCAAAGATTTAAAAATTATCATATGACATTAGGAGAAATCATTGCAAACTCAAGCCATAGGACACTCAGCCATCCCATAAAGATTGTGCAACATTGAAAAAGGTGGCTAGGGTGTTTTTTTGGTGATCATGAGTAGGATGTATGGATTAATCGAAGTTATATACTGGATCATGATGGTGCTGCAATTGGTTTTCACACAATTTTGATGAACATCTTTCTGTGTCAGGACCTCAACTATTTGAGGTTAGTATTTAAATTGTGCAGAAAATCACAACAATTGGATTAAGAAATATCCTAGGATGCAGCTAGATATTCTAGGTATTTTCTGTATACTGTGGTTTTCTAGAGCAAACCAAAACTTAAAATAAAACATAGATTATAAGCTAAATATACTAATTATAGTAGTTTAGCATAAATTGGATGTCCATCCATTTTTATATATAGCTAATTCCTAATTAATCCCATATCTCAAACACTCAAAATATAAATACTAGAAAATTGAAAATAATAATAGCCCTTTAATTAAAATTAAATCTAGATCATCCAAAATGAATCTATAGAAAACAATATGCTATGAATATAGTGTTGGTGACGGCATTCTCTTTAACACAAGTGTCTAAAAAGATTAAATGACATTATTTTATCTTTTCCACAAGTATTATAAATAATAACTTAAATAATGTAGAAAAAATTCTTAAGAATGTATCACTAGAAGTGATTAAGTGTTTTAGTTTATTTTGAGCACTTTTATCTTGGTGGTAAGTTTATACTTTCCTTTACTCAGCAAAACTAACATCAAAATTATTAGTAGAATCATAAATGTGGCCATGTTTTAAGAAGCTGCAAATCTGTATCCTTTGCTAATAGAAGTATCACAGCCAAATGTAAGACTATAGATAAGAAATTCAAAGATACCAAGCTATCAGTAATTGGATGTGGAGATCTAATGACTTGTTCTAATATTGAAAGTATCTTGCATAGATTCTCTTTTAAAAAAGGTTAATATCGATACATATGCAACCAAAGGTCAAGCTTGTGGGGGCTTTCTTAAGACGTGTTCTCCCACCTCTTATAACAAAAATTCAGGGGACTAACTGCTAATTGCACTAGAATTGACAAAAGTAGATATTAAAAGGTGCAAATTGAACCAAACCATAAGCTGTCTTTTGGATGATCAAGTTGCAAATATAGGAATGGAACTGTAAACAAATAGAAATGAATACTTAGAATGGTAAATAGGATAATCTTATTATTATCATTACATGCCATGGGAATTGAACACGCAACTGGTGTCGTGTAGCCCTAAAATTCTGCTCAATGCAAGGCCTTGGGCGCTCCACGTCAGCTCACTGCGCGCTACAGAGATCGAGATGGCTATGGCCTTGTTCGTCCCTAGCCCTTCTTCTTCCTCCTCCTCCACTCACGGATGGAAGAGATTCCAATCCCCATCGCGCTCGCGATCGATCGTCCAGGTAAGGGCTTCCTCCTCCTCGCCTCCGCCGGATTCCCCCGGCTCGACGCCGTTGCGCCGCCCGGGAGCGCCTAGCACCGTCAAGCCAGCGCCATCGCCATCGCCATCGCCATTACCGGAGACGCCAGCCCCATCTCCAGCTCCATCTCCAGCTCCAGCTCCAGCGAATCCTATCGCTGCTGCCACTGGATTTGAGAGCGGCGTGACGGTGGAATTCCAGCGGCAACGAGCCAAGGAGCTCCAAGAGTACTTCCTGGACAGGAAATTCCAGCGCCAGGCCGAGGAGGGTCGGATCTTTGGCTGGAGCCGCAAGAACGAGGTCGGTAATGGCAGGTAAACCCATCAATCCACAAAATTCGCAGCCAATCTCCCTTCCAATCTCGCAGATGGGCGATGTTTGGGATCGCGGTGGGATTGCTCACAGAGTTCGCGACTGGATCTAGCATTGTCGATCAACTGAGAATCGTCGTCGCCAATCTGGGAATCGCCGATTTCGACTGAGGAGAACTCAAAGAACAAGGAACGCGCGTTTTAGGGCTCAAGTTCGTACATACCAATCTCATTACGTACGTTTGTCGTACGCACATAATTATTCTTACCGTACAGAGAATATCCGTGTTTTAGGGCTTTCGTACCCACCGTGCCCGTTGAGATATTCCTACCGTACGAAGAATATTCTTCTGTGTTTATACGATTAGGGCTTGGGCAATGGGAAATTGAGCCACTCAAATGGGGCTTGGAATGGCGGGCGTGGAATGGCGATGGAGGTGAGGCGATCGCGGCCAATCTCTCGGATTTTCTCGTGATTTCTCTGCGCGGAGGTACTGCCGTGATGGCGCCCGCAGAAGCTGGGGAAATTCCTGGTAGCGAAGAGCGGCGAGCATTTCAGGTCAGGGTTTCTTCCTCTACCTGTGAAAAGCGGGAGATTCCTCTACGCTTCTTCCCATTTGATCAGGTGGAAGAAGACGAGCCAGTGCTGAAGCGTGCCGCGTCGGTGTTCTTCGCGGATATGGTGGCGAGCGCCACTTCCTCGTTGGAGAGCTGCGCGCGATCGAATTACCCCAACGGCAAAGACGCGAATCTGGTGGAGCCTTTTGCTTCCGCTCCCCCATTCTGGGAGGGTATCCCTCCTCCAGCAACCCTCGTGGATCTCAACGTTCCATTGCTGGCACCAAAGCTGGACTGCTCAAGCGCTGGTGGTGGTGGTGGTGGTGGTGGCGGTCGCGAGGACGATCCCCTCTTTGACTTTCAAGAGTTCCACCATCGTCTCCACGACGTAAGCAAAGCTCCATTCTCGCAGTATCATTACGATGACCATCTTACCTGGGAGACTTTTTTTACTCCTGCCACTGCTGCTTCTGGTACTCAGGGCCAAGACGATCCTTTCCAGGGTTACAACGTGAGCTCTTCGCACGATCACGGCTATAATGGTAGCGTCTCTCAGCTCCTTGACGCGTTAGCGCCACCACGACCGGCAGAGTCTTGTAGCGGCGGTAACGTCCAAGCCAGGATGGGAAATCTCATGGAGCTTCTCTACGGTCGTCGCCAGGAGGCTGCTTCTCAGCTCGGGCCGCCACCGGCGATGGAGTCTTCGACCGGTGATGGAACTAAAGCTCAAGACAAAGCTGGCGACGACGATGGTGGGTTTGTGGAGCCTCTGTACAGTCGCATACGGAGCCAGGAGGAGGATGAGCAGGATTTGGAGTTTGGGAACTTCTGGGATGTAGAGAAGCCTGCTCAGCACTCGGCGTTGCCGGGAGCTTGCACGGCCGACTGTCACGACTTGGTGAGCAGCATCTCGAACCTGTCGAAGGTTTTGCTGTCGCACTATGGAGCTCGAGAGAAGAAGGCACCGAATTCTTTTCTGCGACAAGCAGGGATAAAGGACTTGCAGTCTGCCATATTGGACCTCTCCAAGTGCCTCGTTCATGCACACGGCCAACAAAATGCCACTGTGGAGAATGCAAATCAGGTAAGTACTTAGCTTTTGTTTCTCTTTTTCTCTATTTCATATTACTGCTGGAGAGTTTAGCAGGTCGAAGAGAGCAAGAACCCTTCCGAGGAGGATCCAAACTTTGGACTGTACAGCGAGACTGACGAGCAGCCTGCCGAGCACGACGAAGACGGTAACGAGCAGCTTGTGACGAGGTTTAAGATTCTCTTGGAATTGGCTGGAAAAGGTCCCAAGGAGGTGGAAGGTATGCATTCTTATTTGAGGAGCTCTTAAACTGTAGTTTCAATTCATCAAACAAAATCCATCTAACAATCTGGATGTAACATGCAGAGGTTGTCTCCAAAAGCAATCCCGAGCCCGAGGAGCAGCAGCAGAACCCTTCGTACTTCGACAGCAACCAAGTGGAGCAGAGGCTGGCGCTCTTGAGAAGCCGCCCCCAGTGGAGTGATGACGATGGTGCCGCGACGATGAGTGGCGAGGACATCCAAGTGCGAGACGACTACGTTGCGAAACGTACCGCGTCCTTGAAGGAGCTGTCCGACCGCCTCATGAAGAATGGCGTGCAAGCAGCAGCAGCAGCAAGTCCAGCAGCAGACAAGGGGTCTGATAGCAGTGAAGAGTTCGGCTGGGAGCACATCTAAGATCATCTCTTGCTCTTGCGTGTAAGTAAGTTTGCTAAAGTGGAGATCTTCAAACTTCCAGACTGGATTTTCTTAGTAGAAAAGCTATAAAGAAAAAAAAGAGAGGCACTAGCTTCTGCTGGTGTCCACCAAGAAATGTACAGTGGAAAGGGACGATCAAAAAAAGAGACGCTTGGATTTCTCTCAAAAGGCCTGTATTTGATTTGAATCCCACCGATGTGTCAGCCTTTGGTCTTCATGGTATTGACTTTGCAAAGCAAGGATCTCTTGGATTTTTGGTAACCAACTCGCGTAAAAGTTCTATGATTTGGTAGCGGTTTGATGCCAACCTTGGCACCTTCTTGTCATGACTTGTCACACAAAAGATCACAACGTCATAAATCCATCCTTGCGAAGTTGCAACCTCGAAACAACAAAAAGCTGGTGCTTGGAGAGAAAAAAAAAAAGTATCCATCTTGGCTTGCAACTTCTTTCTTGTCGTTGTTTTACTCTAGTTTGTCTACCATGTGCGCAATCTCGCTGGAATTCTTGTCTGGAACTTCCTGAGACTGCCACAACTTCGCCACGAACAAGAACAAAAAACTTAACAAAGACTTGGATTGTCATTCAATCCTTGAAAAGTGGCTGTCACTGCATTGCCATGAATCGCAGAGGCAGTGAGCAAATAATAATCATCCAGCTAAAGCTATCCCCAAAAGCCATATAGAAACTTCTTTTCTTCTTGTGTTCTTCGTTTGAGTCTTGAGTGAGCATCTCTGCTTGCTTTGTCTGCTGGCTGGCTGGCTGCTGCTGCTGCTACTGCGAGGGGGATTGAATCCAATCCAAGTGTGGAGGAATTTAAGGTACCTGTCGCTGCTGGCAAGGCTGTTCTTTCTCTGCTCGAATGTAAACTCCGAAGGAAAAAGACCCTCTGCCACTTACACCTGCGTGAAGTCCCTGCTCATAGCTGCTTGCCAGACCATGTCTATGGTGTGTAATTTGTAAAAAACGTAACATTTGTAGTTATTTTATTTATTTTTTAAGGGTTGACATTAAGTGTTAAAATAAAAATTCATACTTCTTAAGTAAGGTAAAAAAACATTTTAACTATTAAAATAATATATATGGCAATTTATTACTTTTGATGGTAGATCAATTTAGGATATAAAGATTATAACAATTTTTTGAAGGGTTAAAATTAAAAATTATCTTTCTTTGAAAAGTAAAATGGCTTAAGAAAAGTGTAAAAGCCTTCAAACATACTTAAACATTAGCAAAAGCCATGTGGCACTTTTTCATTGAGTCTGAATTTGATGCCCATAACATGGGTATGATGACTATTGATAACGCCATAGGCCATGCATGTTCTATAGACGGCTTATGAATACCACATGGATTCATTGCATTCGGTTCAAATGCAATGCCATGTCCACAAGGTCTATGTACGAAAGGTAAGCACTAGTGGCTTCACCTACATTGCCAAATTTGCTAATTTGCAACCAATCTATTGGATTCCACGACTTTGAAATTATCTTAATTTTTATAGGCAACTAAAGAACCTCATAATGAGTAAGATGTCTTGTATCATGATTAGAGGCCTCAAAGTTTATTAATTTCAAATAATATGTAGATTATCTGGACATGATAGGCATTGTTGGAGAACATGAACATAGTGTCTCATCTCTAATATTAAGCTATTTCAACTCTTCTTCAGGTAATGAGATTGAAGATAGGGACAATGATGAATCATAGGTGATTCAGCGCTTTAATTATATATTGTAATCTTTCATGTTATGGATCTTTTGAGGGGGACGTCGTCCTCATCGTCCGAATCCTTGGCTGGATTGGCCTTCTTTAAGCGTGCCGCGAGCAGCACGCAGTCACATGGTTTTGCTAGTGCAGTAACATTTTGCACCTGGATGGACTTGAAGATTTTAGAGACCAAGACCATGAGTTATCTTGCAACTTACTTTGGAATTTCACAGTTAACATTGTACAAATATATGTAGCTTGGTAGCAGCCATGGGGAAAGAATATGCTAATAAAAAACCCATAACAATGATAGATCAGGTTTTGATAAAGAAAATGTTGTCCATAGCTGTTGGCAGTGCTATGGTGTGCCAACTATTATATACATGGGGAATGGGCATGATGATGGCTATGGTGGGAAGGAAAGAATATCCTTGAATATTTTTTCATATGAGAAAATAGAAATCTACCCATGCAAAGTTACGTTTTTTTACAAATTAACGCCATCGGCTGGGAGCACTCCTGCACATCTAAGATCATCTCTTGCATGTAAGTAAGTTTGCTAAAGTGGAGATCTTCAAACTTCCAGACTGGATTTTCTTAGGGGAAAAGCTATAAAAATAAAAAAAGAGACACTAGCTGGTGTCCACCAAGAAATGTACACTGGAAAGGCGATCAAGAAAAGAGACGCTTGGATTTCTCTCAAAAGGTCTGCATTGATTTGAGACCCACTGATGTGTCAGCCTTTGGTCTTTATGGTATTGACTTTGCAAAGCAAGGATCTCTTGTATTTTTGGTAACCAACCTGCGTGAAAGTTCTAAGATTTGGTAGCAATTTAATGCCAACTTTGGCACTTTCTTGTCATGACTTGTCACACAAAAGATCACAACCTCATAAATCCATCCTTGCGAAGTTGCAACCTCGAAACAACGAAAAGCTGGTGCTTGGAGAGAAAAAAAAAAGTATCCACCTTGGCCAGCAGCCGTCCTGAATCCTTGCATTGCAACTTCTATCTTGTCGTTGTTTCAGTCTAGTTTGTCTACTATGTGCACATTCTCGCTGGAATTCTTGTCTGGAACTTCCTGAGACTGCCACACAGTGTCAGTGTAGACAAACAAAAGAAATTAACAAAGATTTGGATTGTCATTCAATCCTTGAAAAGTGGCTCTCACTGCATTGCCATGAATCGCAGAGGCAGTGAGCAAATAATAATCATCCAGCTAAAGCTATCCTCAAAACCATATAGAACCTTTCTCCACTTCTTCTTTTCTTCTTGTGTTCTTCGTTTGAGCCTTGTGAATCTACTTTCCCTGCTTTTGAGTGAGCATCTCTGCTTGCTTTGTCTGCTGGCTGGCTGCTGCTGCTACTGCGAGTGTGGATCCAATCCAATCCAATCCAAGTGTGGAGGAATTGAAGGTACCTGGTGTCGCTGCTGGCATGGCTGTTCTCTCTCTGCTCGAACGTGAACTCCGAAGGAAAAAGACCCGCTGCCACTTACACCTGCGTGAAGCCCCGGCTCAAAGCTGCTTGCCAGACCGTGTCGATTCTCTCCACATCAATGCTTCCCACTTCGTGGTGGCTCCACTCCTCCAGTGCGTGCAGCAAACCCCCGGCATGGCAGGCAGCAACAACCCCTCGGTCATTTATATACTGCACATGAGAGAAAAGAGAGAAGAGTGAGTTACGTCCACGCGCTGGAAAAGCCAAGAGGGAAAAAGAGCTCTCTCCTACCTCGCAAGTGTGGACTCCGGCCACGTCTTTGGGAAGTTTCATCCCAACCAGCTTCCCGTATGTGCAGTCGCTGCGCACCTCCTGCACTGGCGGCACGACAAACTGGTGGAAGTGCGTCCCCACCGGCGCAAATCCTTGCTCTCGTTCGGTAACCCACTTGCCAATGATCCATCTCTGCAGAGAACGAAGAAAAAAAGAGGTGTAAGAGCTGTAAGACTTGGCGTCGTGCGCTTTACCAACCTTGCAGTACTGGCCAGCTTGGTATTTAGTGACATGAACCAGGTTTCTACGGTGCTCCGCGGCGGCCTCGCTCAGAATGGATTCGTAGCGACTTCTGGAACTAGTCAACATCTGAAGTGGAGGAAATGCGATGGATTAGATCGCTTCGTAACTCCACGGCTAGCTACTTAAGCCTGAAGTGAATGAGACACATACCAGCACGCGAACTCCCTTTCTGCACAAGTAGAGAGCGATGGCCCGGCCCAGCTTGGACGTTGCTCCTGTCAGGAACACCTCTTCCACTTCGGCCGGGAGCTCGTTGAGGACCACCGCGGCTGTCAGGGTGTTCCCGTGAACCACCCTGACTCTCAAGTCAGGATGCTTCTTGACAAACAACAATCCACCTCCGTTGAGTGCTTCGTTCTGTTCACCAACGAGAAGAGTGTCACTCTTTGTCTCCGAGGAAAGAAAGCTTTTCTGTTTGTTACCTTGTTCAATGCGGCAAGGCTAATGACCTTGACACCCATCTCATTTGCTTGTAATATAGCCTTCTCGATGATGTTATTGATTGAATCTAAGCCGAATGGCAAAAAATACTGGAACACAAAACAACCGACAATGATTAAATGGCTGAGGAAAAGCTGTGAACAGAGAGAACTTACATGAATACCGTATCTAGGAACGACCCATGTTTGGGCATGAAGACCCCGTAACATGTACTGATAGGCCACAAAAACTCGCCCCCAAGCCCACAAGGCGAAGAATGCAACGAGCCCGAGAGGCCAGAAGACGTACATGTAGAGGAAGGACAAGCTGATAGTGTACGGCACAGAAGAGAACGTCCGAGAAACAAAAGAAACGTGAATCGATGAAAGAATGTCGATACAGTGTGCCAAGAACACAAAGCTGGGAACTTCTTCCTCTCGGCCTAAAATTTACAAAGAACAATTAAAAAACGTGAGCCCAACGACCAAACCGACAGACAAAAAGCGCAAACCTTGGCGTAGAGATTTGTGCACAGCTCGTGTGTGTTTGCTGAGCGTGCCCCCGAGCACGTCAAACAGGGGCATGAATAAACAAAAATTGGTTTCCAGTTCGGTGTGATGCAAAGAATGATATCTGCGAAGAACGAAATAATTAGCTTTCCGGTTGACAAAGTTCACAAGAGATCAAACTTACGACGGCGTGTAGACGAGATATCTGAGCGGTGGAAACGCCTTGAAGAGAGCTTCGGGAACAATCTCAAAATTGCAATGACCCAGCTGCTTGAAGAAATCGAAACTCAAGAGGTAGGCATAGATCATGACCACGGATCCCCCACCAAGAGCCATGACACCGATGATTGGAATCGCAATAAGCGCAGCTTGTATCAATTCCTCGAGGAAAGTTCTTGTTCCAGCTGCCAAGCAACAACGATAAGTGGATCTTGTAGAAGTAGAATCGAAAGAGCTTTGCCTGCATACCGGTTGCTGGCTCTGGAGTAGTGGACGCGTGATGGAGCGAGTGATAGTTGCAAAAGAGTATGTGAGAGCTATGCATTGCTCGGTGGACAAAGTAGTAAATCGGCTCCGTGAAGACGACATGGAAGAAGACGAGTAGTAGAAGCCCAGTCCAGTTGAAAAGCGGGAGATCTCTAAAGGCAGGGATCCAAACATGGGCTGCCGCTAATGCCAGGGACTGGAAGATCATATGGTTGTCACTGGAGAGGACAAAAACCATTAGACACACCGAGCAAAGAATCGAATCCAAGTTACCAGTGGAATTCCCGATCCACTTGCTCGTAGCTCAGCGCAAACTGTTGAATCTGGTACTTCTTGACAAGGAAGTAGAGCCTGGAGACCGTGATCCATGCCTGCTGCTGGAGGTACCTCAAGAGAACGAGGAGGACGAGATGGAACCACCAGGAATCGGTGGAAGAATGCCGAGCGGCGAAAAAATGGGAGTGCGCCGCTTTAGCGACAAATGGCGCAAACATTATGTACTGCATGGCGAGCGAGCGAGCGATCGATTGTCAGCCAAGAAACCAAAAAGAGAGGAGAGGGCCACAAACCTTGAGATTCCCGAGCGTTTCCCATGGCCAATCGGCCAGTGGAGCAGTCGACACGCCCATGGAGGACGGAAGGATCGCCGCGATATTTCCCCGGAGAGGGTTTCGATCGATCGGCGCTGCTACGGGAATGCGATATTTCGGAGCCGATTCACGCGATGCGCTGCCCGAGGGTCTGATCAAGAACCAAGAAAGCTAGAGGGAGCGAGATGGGGAGGAAATCTGCGAGCTAGAGGCGATCCAGAGGAGAGAATCGCTGGAAATCTGCGCTGCGATGGAATGGTGACTTACATTCGCGAGATTTATAGCGGCGGCAACGATCAAGACGACCTCGCGAGAAGCGAGAGAAGAAGCATCGGCGAAGATGAGCGCTGCGCGACGCAGTCGTCTCGGTCGTCGCCCTGGATTCTCCTCCTCTTCTTTGAAGCCCTTGGACTCTCATCGCTCTCCCTCGCGTTAGTTGCTAATAGCGCGTTGCGCGCATTGAATGAGCGACAGCCTTTAACAGAGGCACACACACACACGGAGAAAAAATTTCAACCAAAGTCAACCCCTCGCGAATCTCGGCCGTCCGCGTGGCGTGCATGCGCACCCCGCCACGCGGGATACAGCGTGGCATAGTCTGCCACCTGTCTGACACGCCAGCGCCAAGAGGAGTGACACGTGGCGGTCACCGCAGTCAACGCCTCTATTACGGGGATTGACAATATTTTTCCCGCAGGCCGCGGCGTTGAATTGACCGCTTGACCACCCAACGCCAGTCCAACGCTACCAAATCTTTAAAGGAAAGTAGAGCACAAATCAAAGAGAGGAGCTTCTCGTTAGAATTTTTTAAGTGTGTCCGTAAAGAACTTTTGATCTCCAATAGCTTCTATACTTCTTCCACCTGAGAAGCAAAGCTATGGATTGAAAGGATGTTTAAGTTTGTCCGCAAAGTACTTTCACTTCTATGCTTACACCTGCGATAGCGAGCAAATAGATTTAGTGTCGAAAGAAACGCTCAAGAAAACCATACCGCGAGTAGATCTTCTTTGAGCGAAGCACTCCAACACAATGTACTCGTCTTTGATTAAACTCGTGGCATGGTTTTTGTGATCAAACTTTAGCTTTTACTGAGAGACAAACGAGAGAGAGGGAACGTTTTTGTCTGCGTAGAAGTAAAAGCTTACCAGGCTGGGCGGGGAGAATGAAGTCCTTGTTCGTCTGTGCTGGCTCTCAGAGCAGTAGAAAGGGCAGCAGTGTCTCCGAGAGACGACAGAGCACAGTGGAGCTGCAAGAACAGCAACAGCCATTCCACCACCAACACATTGATTGTCACTTTGTATCCAACTCCAAATCATCGTCCTATGAGCCACTATGGCCAACAAGAAAGTAGAAGCGAAGATAAGCAAAAACGAGGAATAAAGATAAGGAACAACACCTCCACTTACTTGGGACGCGTAAAGGATGGATGCGCATCTCCCACAGAGCGAGAAAAGATCCAGGATGAGATGACTGCTACACAGAACCAAGTTGGGAATCGAGGACAGCAATTGCGTGTCGAACTTCTAGAATCACCGCAAAGTCGCCTGTACGTGATAAACCCGTTAGCATGAGAGAATAAAGTCGAGATGGACATAGAAAGCGAGTTGACGATTAGTGTACGTCTGTATCATCGTTAGCCAGCACAATCTCATTGGGATCAGCCACCGTACAGCCTTTCTCGTGTTCTTCTTCATCTTCGAGACGGATTTCGTTGAAATCCACGACGGGACCCGCTGCAGAGCAGGTGTGTAAATGCAGGGCTGGAAAGGAAAACGAGATTATTTACCTTGAGCTCGTCCGGGTGTCGCGTCAAGCAAATACGGCAACTGCAGGAGGTCCAGAAAGTATTCCGTTTGAGGATTTTGGGCATGCCCTGTGGAAAGAACGCCTTTATGTAAGCGAAGTTGGAACCCAATACGCAAGCATAAAAACGTACACATACCAGTAGGACCGGTTAGTTTTCTGTGAGGATCATATATAGGAGCCGTCTGTTGAAACGAAGAAGGAATCAAACTCTTTGTGAGCGAGAGGTTTTCGACCCAGTCCCGATGGATTTTGATGTCTGAACACGCCCTGCCGACATATGGTGTCAAAGATGCACATTAAAAGGGACAAACTTACCGAGTCCTCACAACCCTCTCCAAAGGAAAACACGAGTGATAAGCTCGTGTTATTCCCAGCCATTCTTTGTCATAGGTGACCTCCAATGTTCCGTCGGCCGTGGGAAAATCAAAAACCTTCACAAGAAGATCGACAGTCAGTTTCAATGCTCGAGTTTAACACCAGAGAAACCTGCAGAAACGGGCGACCCGGTAGGCATTTGTCCAACGCTAAGAACTTCGTAGTCTTCTCGTCACCATGCTTTACAATAGCAGCAAACTTGGCATGAAGATGCGCCGAAAACCAATACGACGGTTTCAGATTCAGAAGCACATTTCTGGCAGGCACACTTCCCAAGACATTATCTGCAATCTAAACCGCGAACTCAACACAAAGAAAACAAGGATACCGGCAAGCTGACCTCTTGTTGAAGGAAGGGCTTGTAACGCAAAAGCCCCTGCAAGTCTCCACATTGTGCGATACCTTGAGGCCAGTCGTGCGACATGAAAATGTCGATTGGTTCTTTGATTTGGAGAAGCTTGTGCACATCGTATTCACGGACGTGGAAAACAGAACGTAGCTCATTAAGATTATAAGGAGGCCGCTCAAAATGCCCTGTTACAAAAATTATTATCAGAGACTCCAGAACAAGAGTGAATTACCTCGATGGTAGTCATGCTGCTTATAAATTCCTGACAAGCCACCGATTCTAAGCCCGCCAAACCAGATCACTCCGGCAGCTCCCAGATAATAGATGTTCGGAGCCACCCATCCTCCGTAGTATCTATAAGTTCCAACGTTAAAAGAAAGAGCTAGAAATAAAAAACATAGCTTTTTTCTAGCATGACCACTTACAATTCCCACAAGTAGTTCGAGGCTTCGTGATTTCCTCCAATAAAAACAGTCGTGCACGGAGCAGTCTCTATTCCAGCGTAATATTTCCAAAAGCTGTTCATAGAGCGATACTTTGGAGGGCAAGCGAGCGACTGAAGATCAAGCTCATTCCTTACGGCCTGCGAAAATTAATCTTTCCTCTTGAGAAAATTTTCGACAGAATATCGACAAGCGAACCTGGAAATCACCACAACACAGCAGCAGATCGATTTTCAAACCCTCGCTGGCCTCCACATGCCTCACAGTGGCGAAAATCTTGTCGAGCTCGCCGTGAGCGCAGCCAACGACGGCGACCTGCAAGAAACACAGCTGAGACAATGCGAGGAAACGCGCCACTCACGCGCATTGTCCGCTTGCTCTCATCCCGGAGCGCCATTCCCTTCCCTCCAGAAAATCGAAGAACCCTAAAAACAAAAACCCCAAGCCACGGCAGCTGCCACGTCGCAAAACATAGTAAATGCACTGCCCGTGACACGTCACCAGCCACGTCATAAAAAGATGTCGTGACAAACCCTACCTAAAAACTCTACACTTGGGGGCGAAGAACATAACAAGGTGAGAGCTTTCTTCTTCAATGCGATGTCCCAAAAAATCTCCTCGATCGAATTCCACTCCAATTCTAGCTCAATTTTCTCACTCTCGCTCCCTGCGAACATCCCGCGATCAGTGAAAGAGCAAAAACAAATCCAGAGCTCACTCACCACTTGAATCTTTGCAGAGAAAAAAAGAGATCTTTCGATGGCTTACGCGAGAGTCGGGAACATCACTGCCGGAGAGCTCAAAAAATTCGATGGAAGCGACCCAACGCTGCCCGTGTGCGTTGCAATCCGGGGAAAAGTCTACAATGTCTCGAGCGCCACGAACTTCTACGGGCCGGGAGGACCATACGCCGTGTTCGCCGGAAAGGATGCTAGCCGAGGACTCGCAAAGATGAGCACCAAGCCGGACGAGGTGAGCGGCCCTCTCGATGATTTGAGCGAGAAGGAGATGACAACCTTGCTCGACTGGGAGAAGAAGTTCTCCGATAAGTATCCCGTCGTTGGCGGCATTGTCTCGTCCGGATAGGCAACGCTTCCAGCGCTGGACGAAGAAGAAGAAGAAGAAGCATCAGTCCAAGTTGCACAGGTAGAAATACGAGAGCTTTCGTTTCTTACTTTCTTTCTTTGTTGTCTCGTTGTTTGTTTTTTGCCCCCTTGTGTATAAAGTCTGTGTTCTAAGTAGTACTAATTGGGAGGACCTGAGAGCTCGGAAGCTATGTTTCGCAGCGCTAGAACTGCCTGCACCGGCATTCAAGTGGAAAACGCTGAGTCAAAAGCTACAAATAATTAAAACAATGGATAAGGCGTGCACCTCTTTTATTGCGCTCGAAACACCTCCTCACAAAACTGTCCGTGTCGTTCTTCGAAGCCTGGAATCTGGTTTAGAAAATGGGCATGCGAAGTAGCACTGGTGGCAAAAGTGAGATATATTTGTATG